CTGAAATTCAAAATCAGTTTGATGCAAAATTACTTGTTCTTAGAACTGACAATGCCCTTGAATATAAACTTAATGTTTTTCAAAAGTTTATTGAGTCGAGGAGCATTATCCATCAAACATCTTGTGTTGATACCCCTCAACAAAATGGAGTTGCTGAACGAAAGAATGGCCCACTCCTAGCTATCGCTTGTGCCTTAACAATTCAAATGCATGTTCCAAAACACTTTTGGGCAGATGCAGTTCTGGTTGCTTCTTATCTTTTAAACTGCATACCTTTTAGGGTCCTTCAAGACCCTTCCAAATAATATTTTCTGACAAAAATCCTTTTTCCATTCCTCCAAAAGTGTTTGGGTGTGTCTGTTTTGTTCATAATCTAAGCCCGGGACGAGACAAACTTTATCCTCGTGCCCACAAATGTATTTTCTTAGGTTATTCTCGCACTCAAAAGGGATATAAATGTTACAGTCCAACTCTTCGTAAACATTTTGTGTGTGCAGATATAACTTTCTTCGAGGATGTTCCTTATTATTCTCGGGAAGGCAATCGCCTGAAGGACTCTATTCTTCAAGAGTCTGTTCTTCCAACTCCAATTTTTGATTCTGACATCCCACCAGCTCTTTGTGTCTATGCTCGTCGGCGGAAAAGAGTAGCTAATCATGTTCCAAAGACTGAAGTAGTAAACCCAGCCTTGCCACTTCCACCAGTCGCTTCAACGCCGGGAGATTCTTCTATCTCTCCGAACTCTGATATTGATCAACCTATTGCTGCTCGGAAAGGTAAACAGTCTTGTACCAATCACCCTATCTCTAATTTTGTATCGTATAATAAATTGTCCTCCTCCTTTCAAGCTTTTTCTTTGTCATTATCCTCTATTGCTCTTCTTAAGTCCTACAGGAGACACTTTCTCATCCAGGGTGGAGGAAAGCCATGGAATAAGAAATAAACACTTTAAAATTGAATCATACTTGGGACCTTGTTCCTAAGCCTACTGATACTTAGGTTGTTGGTTGTCGTTGGGTTTTTACTATTAAACAGAAGCCTGATGGTACTGTTGACCGTCTCAAAGCTCGACTTGTTGCTAAAGGCTACTCAGACTTATGGCCTTGATTATAATGAGATGTTCTCTCATGTCGCCAAACTGAATTCTGTTCGTGTAATAATCTTTCTTGCAACTAATCTAAACTGGCCACTTCATCAACTTGATGTTAAAAATGCCTTTCTTCACGGTAACCTTAGTAAGACAGTCTATATGACTCAACCACCTAGGTTTGAGTATAAGGGGAAGTGTGTGTGTTATCTCAAGAAGTGGCCTCAAACAGTCCCCTCGTGCATGGTTTGATAAGTTCAATAAAACAGTGGTAGCTCATGGTATGACCAGAAGCCAAGCTGAATCACCACTCTCTCTTTTTTAAGAAAACGAAATGTGGTATTGTGATTCTTGTGGTGTATGTAGATGATATTGTTATCACCTGCAGTGACAAAGATGGGATACAAGTTCTAATCCATCACTTGAGTTCTAGCTTCCTTACCAAGGATTTGGGTAAACTTCAGTATTTTCTAGGAATTGAGGTAGCTCGGTCGAAGCAAGGCATATTAGTCTTTCTCAAGGGGGATCCACAACCAAAACAGCCAAATAAAGTAGTGGAAAACTAGACCTCCGAACACGAATAAGACACCTGGCGCTGGCTAAACAAGAGGCATCAATAGGTACCAAAAACGAAGTCGTGCACTATGCCGTCAGAAGCGTCGGAAGTATACTCTTGATCTATTACAAGATATTGGATATCTTGGTTCGAAACCTGTAGCTACACCCATGGAGACTAATGTAAAACTTAAGGTGAATGATGGTGACCCACTCAATGATCCAGAGATGTATCGAAGACTTGTAGGTAAACTTATTTACCTCACAATCACTCATCTAGACATCTCCTATGCAGTCAATGTTATGAGCCAGTTCATGACCAGTCCTCGGGTACCTCACATGGAGGCAGTTGTACACATCTTGAAGTATCTCAAGTGTGCTACGGGATGTGGTCTGCTTTATTGATCTTCTGAACATCTTTAGATTGAGGGAGATACAGATGCAGATTGGGCCGGTTCTCCTTCTGATCATCGGTCCACCACGGGTTACTGCACCTTCATAGGAGAAAATCTAGTAACTTGGAGGAGTAAGAAACAGTTAGTTGTAGCTCGTTCTAGTGCTGAAGCAAAGTATCGTGCCATGGCACAGACTGCCTATGAACTTACTTGGTTGAAAACTCTTTTACAGGAACTTGGGATTTCAATCCAGTACCCAATTCATCTCCATTGTGACCATCAGACAGCTATTCATATTGCTAGCAATCCAGTATAAACACATTGAAGTAGATTGCCATTTCATTCGATCTAAAGTTAACTTGAATGAGATTGTTACACCTTTTGTTCCTTCTGGCAGACAGCTAGCAGACATCTTCACTAAGACGCTTCCCAAAAACTTTATTGATTCCATAAGTAGCAAGCTGGGAGTTATTGACATTTACTCTCCAGCTTGAGGGAGAGTGTTGTACAGTATTGTATGAGTTGTCACACGTGTACAGTTAGTATTGTATGAGTTGTCACCTACCCCTCATTACCATATATAGAATTACCATGTATACGGTTTTCTTGTTCTCCACTCACCTACTCCAATAGCTTCTCTTATATAAACACCATTGTATTACTTACTCAATAACATATAAGTTTTCATATATTCTGTTTCTCTCTCTCTCTCTCTCTCTTTCAACAGGATGTTTGTAGGAAACATGCTGTGTTGTTAGATTGGACCAAGCTCTGTAGCAATTTTGTAGACCTAGAGTTTCTGTGGCTGTCTCTTTGATTTTACAGAACATAAATTTGTCCTTTGTGCATCCGCAGAGAAGAGGGATAACCTTGACATCTATTTGCCACAACTGTTTTGCTGCTATGGATGATAATTCTCATCTCTTCTATACCTGCCTGTTTGCTGCTGGTGTATGGAGGGAGGTATTAGGCAAATTAAATATTGTGACTGGTGATTTCAGTTCAATAGATGGCTTGATTACTTAGCTTCTGAGCCAGCTAAACCCTGCTTCTTGGAGGTCTAAGATCCTAAGCTCTGTGTTTGCTAACTCCATATGGATGATATGGTCTCACAGGAACTCTGCTCCACATGAAGGTTGCAAAACCTCTCCTACTGTGCTGGCTACTAAAATTGTATGGGAAGTACTTCTCTCATTGAAGTGCTCTCTAGAAGATCTGTTACTTATTTTCCATTAATGTCATGATGAATTCTATTAGGATGTTGTCTTTTTGGCGTTACTGGAGATGGGCATTTTCTTTAATTTGAGCTGTAATAGAGGGGTATGCCTCTCTTTTCTCCTTGTACCATTTTGATTTTAAATTGACACCATTCAGTAAAAAAAAAAAAAATCTTCCTATTGGCTGGCTATTTCTTCTTCTACCCATTCCGTTGTTTGGAGGCAAATGGTGTCAATGAGAGATACTATGTTGCAGCATGTGAATTTTAGATTCTTCTCTGGATCAGCATTCAGCTTGTTCAATGATGCTTGGTGTGGAGGCCAAACATTATTGCAGAGGTTTACTCAGAGGTGTGTTACACAGTTTCCTTTCTGTAGAGAAGCTACTCTGAATTCTGTCATTTGTAATGGTACTTCGTCTCAAGATTTTTGGGGTTCTAATATGCAGAATGTGAAGGACTATATTACTGCTATCTCTATTGTTCAAGGCACTGATACTTTGTTGTGGGATAATGGTCTTTTATTTCATTGAAAAAGGCTTGGCATGGTTGCAGAATTAGGTATTCTACAGTCCCTTGGAATGGTATCTGCTGGAAGAACGGTAGACCAAGGACTAACTTCACTGCCTTTTTAGCTTTACAAGACAAATTGCCCTCTTTTTGTAATCTTCAGAAAAGGGATTTACAGATTGCTTCTATTAGTGTTAATTGTTTCAAGAGTGATGATGCTAGAGATCATATCTTTTTGGCTGTCCGTTTTCTGGAGATGTTTGGCAGTGGTTTGCTTCTCTCTTCAATTGGAACTCGTCTGGTTTATCTTTCAATTCTTTGTAGAGTGGTGCATTAAGAAGTTTGCTGCTGATACATACAGATCTAACTTAGCAAAATGGTTTTTTCAGCAGGTTTATGGTCTATTTGGAATGAGAAAAATGTTGATTGCATCAAGGGTTTCAGAGGTCTGCCGTTAAGACCGCTAAACTCACTTGGTTTCAGGTTTTGGATGCTGCTGGTCTTTCTCTTCTTCATGTGGTGCATGCTATTTACTAGATTGGGCTTAGCTTCTGTTTGCTCTTGTTTTCATATGTACTGGAAGTGGTATTATTCTATTTTATAGTTGTTCTCATGTATTGTGAGGGAATGCCCTCACTGTTGATCTCTTGTACTAATTCTTCCTATCTTTAATGTTATACCCACACCTGCTTATGAAGGAAAAAAAAAGCCTAAGGACATGGAACACAGCTTTTATTAAAAGATGAAGCATATTTTTGTAATTTTGAAATCTTAGAGAATGATCCCAATACTTCAGCAATCAACCCCATTAATTTGCTTACACACATTAATCTGAAATTGTTGAAATATGATGGACAATACGGGTTTCATGCAGTTATTCAAAGTAGTGAGTTTTAAAAATCCTCAAAATTCCTAAGCATTCTGCGACAATGCCTTAAGCTAAGTATGTTTAACAGAAATAAATTTATTTCAGGGCTCCAGCCACACAATAAATCATAAAAATGGCACGGAAAAACAAATCCAACACTAAGTTTCTTCCTTCCTATACACAAATAATGAAGGATCCAGTTTTGAGCTTAAAAGCATAACACATTGTAGTATCAACTATATATATGTCTATAACCTCAAAGCAGAAAACCACCCACATTTATGTTGCATTACATAAGCCTTTTCTCTAATGCAACACAATTTAAACCAAAGAAAACTCCATAAAGTAGTAGAAAAGCTAAAGTGTTACCTATCAATCATAATAAGCATAGCTGCTCGTGTATCCATCGAAGAAGACCGATGCAAGTCACGAATCAAGCACCACGCAATGTTGAACTTTTTATGGTTACCCAATACCCATATCACCAAACCCCAAGTTTTTTCAACATTACAACCCCATTTCTCACCCCATTTGAAAACCAGGAATGCCAATTTCCATTCATCTCTCACTTCCCAAATCGTCGATTGAATCAAATCTGTATTCAGTTCGACCCTGGAATCATCAAGAAAAGCAATGGCTTCTTCTTCTGAAACAAAACCCTTGGCCTTCTTGAGTAACTGCACCAATTCATGAACACCCGATTGGTTTTGTTGATGGGTTTTGGGTTTGTATTCAACAAAATCGACTGGTTCACATAGACTTTGATTGTGGGAGGCTTGGAGTGTAGAGAAATGGGGGCTGTTTCGGAGGGAATGAAAGGGGACGAGAATTGTTTGATGAAATGCCAAAGTGAAATAGTGTTGTGTGTGTTGTGAGGTAGGAGGATGAGGAGGCAGTGGGTGAGTAGTTGAGGTTAGGATGAATGGCAGGAAGAGTTGGCAGTTTGTTCTTCGGAGCCTGCTTGCGAAGGTTATGAGTGCCATCTTTTATCGAAATTGGTCTCATGGTTTGGATGCCAGGAGTGACTAAGATTGTGCTTTATGCAAAGGTTACATGTGTCTAGACTTCAGGGTTGGTGGCATGTGAACTTCTATGGTTTAAACTTGTTCTGGGTCAACCACTGAGACTTTTATTATTTTAGGTCTTTGATAATGTTGAGCTTATTTTGAAGATAAAAATAGAGGTTTAAGAGAATATAAACAATAAACCAAATATATATATATATATATATTGTTTGGTAACTTTTTAATTTTTTCAATAAATAGAAAATAGAGAACATAAACATTGTCTAATAACCTAAAAATTCCATAAAAATTTGAAAAATGCACATTGATGGAGAAGAGTCCAACATGAAAGCTAAATACTTACAATATTAGGGCTAAAAAATGCGCCGAGAACAACTCGGGCTTGACTCGATAAGAGTTTTCATGTTCATTTACCAAGTAAATAAACCGCTTTCAAATAGTTTTGTTAAAGGATAATACCGAAGTCCTCACTTACCGTCGATGTAGACCAATAAAACGTAGACAAATTTTCTTTAATTATAAAATTAGAAATGGTGAGTACATAAATTATCTCTAATTTGATATTAAAAGCAGACATTTATTTTTTATTAGTTCATATCAACAACAAGGACGGTATGCATCCCTACTCTACACCCTCTGTCCCATATTAGTTGTCCAATTGAAAAATTTTGACTAGCTACCACTTTTTTATTTTTGAATCATTTGAAATTATTTTTAGTCATATTCCATTTATATACTTATATATTATCTATATCCCATATTAGTTGTTTATTTTGATTAACTTTGACTCATAAAATTTGTGATTCAAAATTTTTTCAAAATTTTTGAAGAAAAACAACTAATATGAGACGGATGTATATTATTTTTAAAATTTATTTCATAAATGAACTAATTTCAAATAACCATTAGCTCGACTTATTTGTTCGTTAACAAAGATTGTGAACATTTTCGTGAACCAAGTTAAAAAACGACTCCTCACTAGAGCTCGGAGAGAGCTGGGCTCAAAATATGTAAGGAATTAAAATATTAAACTATTTTAAGTAGCTTCCCACATAAGCTTGACGACATTCAAGAATTCAGTCTTTTACTGTTCCACAATTCACTTTTTAAGATTTGGTGATGAGGTAAGCCCCTGTTTTGTAACTGTTTATGTTTTTTTGTTTATTGTTTAAGGTTTAGATATAAGCATTTATGTTTTGCTTTTGTTTATGGATAAACTGAAACATTATTTCATAATGTCAAAATATTGAGCTTGTTTTGAAAATAAAAATAAAAACGTTATTTGTTAACCTTAAATTATTTTTTTAAAAGAAAATCTAAAATAACAAAGAAAAGTTATTATTTGATAACTTTAAAATGAAATTGAAAATAGAAAACATTAACATTGACACCGACTTCTATCCAAACATCCCAAAGTTGGATAAAGATAACCCTCATATGCAAGTGTTTTGTAGATTGTCTCATTTCACAGAGATCTCATATGCCTTCAATTTCGGTCAACTGTATGCAATTCAAACTGAGAAACCCCAATGAAGTTGTACAAAACTGGATCACATATTCTCATGTCAAGATAATTTCATATTTAAAGTAATGTACTAATAGATCAAAATGTTGAAAATCGGGTTTATTTAGCGGAACCAAAACTACGATTCCCACTAGTTCTTGAGAGGTTCAAGCGCAAAAAATAGGCTTCAAATATGCTTATAGTGCATATCATACCCCTCTCGTGCAAAAAATACCCCTCAAGTTTCAATATGGTGCAATTCAGTCCTTCTGGCACATTTAAAACCAAACTCGACTAAAATACCCTTAGTCAACAATTTTATAAAATATATAAAAATACATAATTTTGTAAAAAGACAATAGTGTGGTCTCGAGTGTGCTCACAAAAATGTGTCAATTTAGAAGTGCGTCAAGTGGCCAACACATTTAGAAATTTATAAAACCACTAGACACTTATACTATGTAGTATGAAGTGTGAATGGATAGTCCCAAGAGATTGTAAGGATATTCGGAATAAAAGTTAGATTAGTAGGTCAAGTGATCAAAATAGTAGTTTGGCTTGGTTACTTAAACTATGATTAACTAAATTAAACAATGCAAGAAAAACAATCTAAATAGAGTAGGGTGTAGAGAATAGGAGAGAGGTCTTAGGGTATAGGAATCACCAATGAACTCTTCCTCTAAACATCTAACCTTTAACAATTTGGGAAATAAACAATTTTATAAAATATATAAAAATACAAAATTTTGTAAAAAGGCCAAAAATGACAATAAGCAGTGATGTCGTCATTTTGCACACCCATTCTACAATTCGGTTTGGGTTATAGCAAAAAATCGCTATAAAAGAGTGAGGCATCGAGACTGCCATAGAAGACGGTGAGCTTGGTGTTAGGGTTTTTTTTTTTATCAGAAGAGAGATGTCCCAGGTGGCGGTGACCTCGGAGGCTGAGGTGTTTATGGGTGAAACGGTGGCGGAGGTCATTTTCATTCCTTTTCTTTTTATTCAAATTTTACGGATAAATTTTTTTCCGTTGTCTTTTCTCTTCTGTGTTTGGTTTCCCGTCACTTAGTGTCATATCGAGTGCTCAGAAATGGTTTCTGAGACTCTTTTTTTAGGATTGACAACTTCCTTTAAAGACCGAGTCATTTCCACATTTTTCATTTTTCGTCACTATTCACTTTTTGTCTTTTCCCGGTTTCCTTTTTCGTTGCATAACCTCACTTTTTGCCCTCGGATTTGACTCCGGCTTTGCATGCACCCATGATATTTAATTTCTATTATATCTACATTTTTACTTTTGAATAAAAGCATGCTAAATGTTTACTTTTCTTGTAAAGGACATGGATGCATAACTTTTGATAATTTTCTTAACTTTTGGGGTTTTAGTGTAATTATGTAAAGTAATTATTTTTCATCTTAGGGACCATTTTGAAATTTAATTTGGAAGATATTTTCAAAAAGGATCTTTTTGCAATTTTTGGAAAGTGTGACAAATGTCATACTCTCATTGGTCCACTTGTTGGTATTTGTGTGGGGACACTTTGATGCCTTGGATGATGATATGTGGAGGGTGGAGATTGAACCACTTGTTGACCTAGGATAGGTGCACTTGTTGGCTTGGATGGTTGGCAAGTGTAGGCTTAGGATTAAGCCCACAATGGATGCTTGGATGAATGACAAATGTATGCTCCAAATTACGTCTTGCAATTATTTTTGGGCCACTTTGGGATTATGGTTTTAAAGAGGGGTTTTTATGCAATTAACCAAGAATTGTGTGTGTTGACCATGGTGTAAGATCACATAGTGAGTGGAGGATTTCTAATTCCTCCACTCACATTTCATCTCATTGTTTCATTTCCTCCCTCACCAAAAACCTTAGCCACCATTAGAGGAGCTTGATGCTTAAGCTTTGACCTTGATTTTTGAGGCCCTTTCACTCGCCTTAGACCATAAAGCTTGGAATACTTTTTGTTCCTCTCATCCTCTTCTACATAACCCTTGAAGGGTTTGCCATTTTGAGTTTGTTTGCCTTGGATTCTAGAAAGACTCTTCTTCAGTGAGGTAGGGGGTGTTATAGTTTATTTTCCAAGTGTTTTACTTGCTTTTGTATGAAATATATGTTGTATGCATGTCTTTAGTTAATTTGAGAAATTAATGATTTATCTTAGCTTGCATATAACTCATTTTAGACTTGATATATGGCATGGCCATGACTTGATCTTTGTTATATATTAAATTGGAATGATTTAAATGAGTTTTCAAATCTAAAGGTTAAATGAATTTAATTTGATTTAAATTCTAGTTAATTGTGCTTTGTTTGTATTCCATTTTAGACTTGATATATAGTATGACCATGACTTAGTACTTGATATATATTAATTTGAGATCATTTGAACAACTTTTGAAATCTAGAGATTTAATTGATTTAAATCAATTAAATTCTATATAATGATATCTTGCTTATGTTGCACTTTTGATTGAATATATGTAATGATCATGCTATGTTGTTTAGCATATATTAATTTGAGATTATTTGGAATTGATTTGAAATCTAGAGAATTTAATTATTTTGTTTAATTAGATTCTATCTAATGGCTCCATGGATCTATTTGTGTTTTAGAAATTGTTTCTATATTCAAATCATGGACTTGTACTTGTTGTGTATTCACTTGGTTGTGTTTTGAGCATTTGATAACATTGTTGTTATATTTATATTCATGTGAACATGTTTTATTTATGGAATATATTGTTGCCTTGTGTAATAAATTGCACACTTTGTAATTGACATTATATATGCCATTTAGAATGAAAACTCTAAGGCATGGATTGTGTGGTTTCAATTTACTTGTGCATGGAAGGTGATTTCGTGCATTATTTAAATTACGTATAAGTTGTGAACTTATTTGATTATTTTGGAGTCACTTGGGACATTGTTACTGAAATATGGCTAGAGTTTGGCTCTAGTACGGGAGGTATGAGTTCTCCCTATTTTATAGTGCGCACTAGGGTGGTATTCCCAACGGGTTAGTGCCCGGAATAACCGTTTAGGTCTTGGCTTTATCCAAGATTTGATGTCCAAGTCTTCCACTATTTGATTTCGCATTTGATTCCAAGTTGACAATCATGTTTAATTGTGACTTGTGGTTTTGGTTATTGGCGATTTAATGTTGTTAAGTACATTTGTGCATTATGATTTTTTTTAAGGTATCATCGCATGTTTTTTTATGTTGTTAAGTACATCTATGCTAAATTGTCATATTTAGACGTTTTTGCATTTTAGATTTCAAGTTGATAACCTTAAGGATCTATGTCTTGATGCGTTGTATTAGAACTTTTAATTATACTAAAGTGTTATATTTAGTTGTTATCGTATTTTAGATTTCGAGTTGATAACTTTGAGAATCTATATCTTGTTGCTTTGTATAACATGCTCTTATGTTGTTTGGAATTGCATGAAGGATGTTATTTATGCTAAAAATGATCTAAGGTAGCTTAGGATGCTCCCTATGTGTCACATTTGACATAGACGTTACGTGGCATGACCCTTTTGAATT